TAGAGCAACCCCCACCACCTCCTGCACACACATGCTAGTCATCCATTTCATCATCTTGAATATATAATCCGATGAGGGTAGAGGCCCTCAATTTCCAAGAACTTTGGGCTCAAAAGTCACTCCTTTGACTGCTCTTGAGAAAGTCACTTTGCCTCTCTGAATGTCACCTCTAACATAAGCCTAAAAGTGGCTGCTCTGCCTACTTCCTGGGGTTGCAAGAGGAGAAGAAAGTGGTAGGCAAGCTGTCATAAAGACCAAACGGATGGTCAGTAAGGTTTAAACATACCCGGCCTGAAGTGCTACGCGCTGTGGAATATATTTCTTTACAAAAGGGCTACCCAAAAACTGAGCCTCTGAGCTCAGCGAACACATACAAGTCCAGGGTTCCAGATCTTCTTGGACTATGTTAGAAGCCAGTTCCTTCTCAGTAGGACTCCTTGACCAGTGGTATCACTGGTGGGTTTCATGGGTCAAGCTAACCTGCCCTGTTATCTTTTAGCCCTGACAAGAGGTCTATGCCAATACAAAGACCCTGGAACACCCCAGTAATATTCTCCTAAGCCTGAGAGGTACAGCCTATGTAGCATGGCCCAAATGATCATGAAGAAAAGATTGTCTCTTTCCTGGTCTCTGGGAAATGCCCTCACATAGAGATCCAGTAGGTAGGAAGGAAAAAGGTTGGCCTCTTCATGGACGAGTGGGATATGAAGCTGATACAGAAGGGGAATAAGTTGGCCATGGGCTCATGATGCCTTCCCATCGGGTGTTAGAAAGGTGCCAGGAGACTCTGTCCTCATGGGAAATGTGCTCATAGCTGTAACCTAATGATGCATCAGTACCAGGGATCCAGGAAGGGCACAGGGCATGAATGTCACCCTCACAGAAGCCTGAAATTCCACCTGTGGATTGGAATTCTTCCTTAGCATTAGGTCTGGCCCGCTTCCCTGGCATCTCTTTTTTTTTTTTTTTTTTTAGGTGGAGTCTTGCTCTGTTACCCCAGCTGGAGTACAAGGGCACAGTCTCAGCTCACTGCAACCTCCACCTCCCAGGTTCAAGTGATTCTCCTACCTCAGCCTCCTGAGTAGCTGGGACTACAGGTGCTCACCACCACACCCAGCTAATTTTTGTAATTTTTTTTTTTTTTTTAGTAGAGACAGGCCAGGCTGGTCTCAAACTCCTGACCTCAGGCTATCTGCCCGCCTTGGCTTCTCAAAGTGCTGGGTTTACAGGCATGAGCCACCAGGCCTGGCCGGCAGCTCCTTTTTCAATATAAGTGGTTCTGGAAGGAAATGCCTGAAATTTACCAACAACTGTGACTGTCAGATCACCAACCTGGCAGCAAGTGAAGAACACGGGGGAAGGGGACAACTGAAAGAAGGGAAGCAAAAGCAAAGGCCAAGGGGCAAAGGGGAAGTAAAAGGACCAAAATCTCTTACTGATGCCACAGGACTTATAGCAACAGGTCTCTCTGGGTGGGACCTTCTGGGGTGGAATTACTGGGGTTATGGTCTCCCGTCTAAAGAGTCTGGGGATGAGACTGAACAGCAACTAGCCAGGCTTAGCTGACATGCACTGAAGTCTCTCCACCTCTGGAAAAATGTGGCTACCACAGCCCAGAAAACATGTCAAAACACGGCTAGCAGAGTCCCAGCCTGCTGACCAAGTTTCTTAAACACTGACTTTGCCGACATTCCTGAGGGTTACTATCAGAGAACATTCAGCCATCTGAGGTACTTTTAAAGCACATAAAGTTGAGAGGTCCCAGGATTCTAAAAGGAAAAGCCAAATATGCTACTGATTTTCATATGAGATGACAAGGCTGAGTCTCATTATCATTATTATTATTTTTTTTTTTTTTTGAGACGGAGTTTCGCTCTTGTTACCCAGGCTGGAGTGCAATGGCGCGATCTCGGCTCACCGCAACCTCCGCCTCCTGGGTTCAGGCAATTCTCCTGCTTCAGCCTCCTCAGTAGCTGGGATTACAGGCACGCGCCACCATGCCCAGCTAATTTTTTTATTTTTAGTAGAGACGGGGTTTCACCATGTTGACCAGGATGGTCTCGATCTCTTGACCTCGTGATCCACCCGCCTCAGCCTCCCAAAGTGCTGGGATTACAGGCTTGAGCCACCGCGCCCGGCGTCATTATTTTAAATTAATTCAGCTCCCTGGTACCATGGCAAAGTCAATGGCGGTTTTAATGAATACTAACAGGTAAAAGGATAATTCACAAGGTAAATGTGATTGATGTTGATAGAATTACAACGTTAACAGCAAAGAGGGTAAAGAAGATGGCATATAGAGTATGTCTGCATACTGTTTAGCAGGCTCTCCTGAAATCTTCCTGTGAAACGTTATTCAAAGTGGCGGAGATCTGGGTGTTGTCAGCGGGAATTCACTGCTTCCAGGAAAAAGCCCAAAGGGAAAGGAGAAAAGGCAATCGGGAGGGATGAAGGAGGCACCAGAGGGTGCTATTGGAGCTCAGTCTGACATGGTGCAGCTCTTTCATTGATGATCTAGGAGTAAACAATGTCTTAATGAAATTCACAGAGCACTCTCATTGGGGAAATGTAAAAGTCTGTGAGACTGAATCATGATGTGTGAAAGGAACCAGGAGAACAGCTAGCTTGGACAGGAAATGATATTGATAGCTTGCAAGTTAACATGCTGGAGGGAAGTAGATCAGAAAACACAAATATTTAATGTGAGGAAGAAAAGCGGGAAATCAAGAAGTCCTGAAAAGGGCTGATAACAAGTAGTGATCACAGGCATTTGCAGCGTAACTGAGAAGCCCAAATGCCCAGCAGAACTGGGAGCTGGGAGGCACTTTTGGGAGACAGAGCTGCTGCCGCAAGTCCTTTCTGAAACAAATGTAAAACGGACTCCGCCCCAGAATAGAGCAGTTTTTGGCAAATATAAAATAAGAAGCCCAGAGGTGAGCAGTTAAGATGCAGGGAGAAGACTCTATCTCCAAAAAGCAAGAGAAGAACCACAGAGCTAAGGTGCAGCATGGCCCAGCAAGTGGCATGCACCCTGGCTGAGGCAAACGGAACACATGGGCACTGATTTGAGTTCAGGCCTTTTCCTCCAGGTCTACCATTACTAGTGGAGTTCCTGGGGGTGCCAGTTTCTGCACCTGTAAGATCTTTACCTCATACTAGCTTGGCCCCATGCCTGACACATGATCGCACCAACATTCAGTCAATATTTCTTCCTCTCCTTGCTTCCCAGATCAACCCTGTCCCCTAAGCCATGCACCATCTCATTTAGGGAGGCAGAGTGAGCACACTGGTCCCTCTCACAGCCCTGGTGGTAATTTGGTTCAGATCATCTAGCTGTAGACACCCACGCCCTTCCCCCAGAGTGCCAATCTTGAGCATCCTGACAGGTGTCCAAAACCTGATGCGTGGCTTGTGCCCACCTGGCAGGTGTATGCACAAGGCTGCATCTGCCCATATGAGGTACACGTTCCTAGACAGGAGATATCCCCTCATTCTCCATCCACTCTGCCCCCCAAGAGCCCAGCAGCTACACTAGGTCCTCCAGCACAGGAAGCAGGCAGCCTCAAGACAAGCTGGAACTGTCTTCGACCACCTTCTCTCCTCCTTGACTGCTGGGCTGTTTCTGGGAGCTGGGGAGGGAAAGCGCGGTGGGCGTAGATGGAAACATCATTCCAGTCCCTCTATCGCATGACCACTACTCTTTCAAAACTTCTCCCCTCCTTCACACCCACCCCTAGGTTGGCACCCTCTGCCTGACCAAGTTTCTTAAACACCAACTTTCCCAACATTACTGAGGTTACTATCAGAGAACATTCAGCCATCTGACGTACTTTCAAAGCGTGTAAAGTGGAGAGGCCCCAGGAAGAAAAGGTTGATTTATATGGGCTATGAAAGAATCACAGCAGTAACACCAACTCTCGGGGAAGTAGGGGCCAACACAGCTCCCTGTGTATTTCAGGTGGAAATGAGCCCAAAAAGATTCCTACAGCTTGTTATCAGCTTGCTATCACCCTGTCAAATGATCAGGAGGAAGTTATCTTAAATTCTGGCTAAGATTCATGAGCTAAAAGGAATAGAAAAGTCACTATTCATTACAAAGTTATAAAGATAATGTGAAAACAAACATCCAGAATGTTTTCTTCTTCCATATTTTTGCCTTCTGCTGAACATACTTGCCTAGATTGTTACAATTATACATATAGAATGCCCACTAGTGGTCAATCCTTCTCCCACACATCCCTGGACAGAGTTCCGAGATAGTTACCTCTGCACTGGATTCCTCCATCCCACATTTCAGCCCCTCTGGTTGCATGGCCCCGGTCTTCCAATGAGGCCTTAGGTGACTCTGGAGAAAGCAGAGCCACCCTTTGTGACATAGCAGCAGTAGAAACAATTCAATCAAGAGGACCCCACGAAGGAAACAGCTGACTGCAGGCAGGAGGAGACCTGAGAATTTCTAGCCTGTAAGGACTTCACCAATTCATTGACCTCAAAAGCATCCAGGCCCACGGTCCCTACATCTGTCTTTGGTGCACAGCAGGGCTTAATTCTCTCGACAACTCCAAATAACTCTGTACCCCTTTGTCCACGGACTAGGTTTTCTTCTCATGGACCCATTCTTATGCGTTTGATTCCAGTCCCAGTTCTAATTCTCCCCCAGAAATCCAGAGTGATTGCACAGCACCAAGCACCAAAAGATCTCGTTTTGAGAAGGCTGGATTACTTCAGAGTATCACAGAAACTTGGAATGTTAGGACTGGAAGTTGTTACCAGATCATCTGACCCAGCCACCTCATTTGTGGGGAAAACGGCCCAAGGCCCAGAGAGGCTATGTGTGGTCTTCTCCAGCACATCGCCTGCTGGCAGCCAACCCGAACTACAATCTGAAGCCCTGATGAACTCTGCTTATTCTACAACATCTTGCTAGAATTTTGAAGGGAGAGGTGGGGGGTTATTATGGCTAACACTGATAGGTTATATCCTTCTGTGATTATCCCTACCTGAGGTAGAACCACATTGATTGGGATTTCTAGGCTTTCCGATCTGGGATCTCTTTTTCTTGTAAAATTTGGCTTTGAGTTCTGTGGAAAAGAGAAAGGAAGATTGCAGCTTCCCAGCTCATCCTCTGGGCCGGGCCTCAATTGCTCACCTAAAAAACAGAACTTCCTACTCATTTATGTCCTTCTTGTCAATTATGTACAATCATGAAAATCTGAGTCTGGAAGAAGGTGTAGATGGTATCTGATATGATGGTTTATCAGTCTCTGAACAGATATTAAGGTAGATATTATAGCCAGGCTTGGTGGCTCAGGCCTGTAATCCCTGCACTTTGGGAGGCCGAGGTGGGCAAAGCACGAGGTCAAGAGATCGAGACCATCCTGGTCAACATGGTAAAACCCTGTCTCTATTAAAAATACAAAAATTAGCCAGGCATGGTGGTGTGTGCCTGTAGTCCCAGCTACTCGCGAGGCTGAGGCAGCAGAGTCACTTGAACCCGGGAGGTGGAGGTAGCCGTGAGCTGAGGTCACGCCACTGTACTCCAGCCTGGTGACAGAGTGAGACTTCATCTCAAAAAAATAAATAAAATAAAAAATAAAAAGGATAGATATTACAGTTGATGTAAAAGGCTTTTGAAAGTCTTTGAAGCAGAGATAGCTGTACCTGCTTCTTTGTCTAAGATTATTATTTCTATCTCAAGTGAAAAGCCATACCAATGTGAGTTGCCAGGTATAGGTCCTATGCAGAACTTGGTCACCAAAACACTCAGAACACTCCAGAGGTGACATCACAAAACAATATGGTGTTTTTCAGAGCTCATGGTTTCTCTCTGAGCATCACAGGTGGGAATGAGGCATCTGACAGGCAGGAAGAGCTTGTGGGGGCTCTGACTACATGGCTGGTCAGGGTCAGTATGACACACAATAGCCCAAACATTAACCCCCTGTTGGGTCATCCCAGCTGCCATTCATATCCTCACTGCCAGGCTAAGTTGAGAGTCCTGTCCTTTCTCCAGAAGTGGCAACTTCTTGGAGCTGGGTCACTCAAGAAGAAAGAAACGCAAACTAAACTCTTTCCAGACCAAGGGAGAAAATGCAGTTTGAGGTGTTTTCTGACACTACTCAATCCTTTAATTCTCTGACACCAACTGTGTGTCCTACAATTTAATTTCATTCTGACACTATCTACCTGGAGTTAGTGTTACAGAGCTGAAGGGGCTCACTGTCCGATGCAATAGAAGACAATACTAAAACTAAGTTCTTTAAAAAAGAAATAACTTTTATATTGAAAGTCAACTCCCAAGGAGACAAGAGTCAAGCTCAAATCTGTCTCTCTGTGCTGGCATTAAGGCCGTATTTTTATTAGAAAAGGTTCTGGGTGGAGTCTGAGATTAGTAGGTGATTGGTGGATGGAAATAATGGGAGATCTGGAAAGTCTCAAAGAGCAAGAAACCGGTAACTAACAGAATTTTTTCAGTTTGCAGGATAGCAGATAAGAAACAAGCTGCTGAAACACTGTAACTCCCTCCACTTGTGAGATCAAGAAAAACCTGGCTGAAATTGGCTAGAACCAAGACGGCTGGCTGGAGTTTGCACAGAATGAGCTTGCTGACGTCATAGTCCGAATTTCCACCCCTTGTTTCATACCAACTCCCTCTGAATTTGCACATGCCACTCAGGAGTTAACATGAAGAAAAAACTGTGCATGCCCAAGGACTTTTCAGACCTCCCCTTTCCTTGCACGAATCACCTACTAATCTCAGAATCCACTCCTTGAACTTTTTCTAATAAAAATGCTGCCTTAATATCAGCACAGAGACTCCTTGACTCAGATGAACAAAATCTTTGGAAATGTAATTAATCATCTTCTTGGTTTTACCATAAGTAGATTTTCTTCAGTCAAAGCTTGCTTGTAATGTGGCTGTGGGAGATGGGGGAGGGAAGTTATAGTGTCTCTGGTTGGGCTGACCCTGGTCTATCTCTTGGAGTTCACTTTCAAAATAAAGCTATTCTTTTATCCAAAGCCCAGTGTCATGGTATTGGCTTCTAGCACATCAGGCATCAAGCCTCTTTTGCTCAATAACATTAGCATCAGATCCCATAAGTTAGGGGCTCAGTTGCACGAGCCCACCTCACTTTAGATGCCAATCAGAAATCTGAGCCACCTGTACTTCTGATTGATCAGCTATACATATCAGGGGTTTCCATGATTCCCTCCTTGGGTCCAATAATTTGCTAGAATAGCTCATGAAACTCAGGAAAAATACTTTATATTGTTACAATTTTATTATAAAGGTTACAACTCATGAACAGCTAAGTAGGAGAGATGCATAGGACAAGATATTGAGGATGCGGAGACACGGAACTTCCATACCTCTCTGGCATTCACCCTCCCAGCATCTCAAAGTGTTCACCAATCCAGAAGCTCTTTGAGCCCCATTGGTTAGAGGGTTTCTGCAGTTTTCATTACATAGACATGGTTAATTTAATCATTGATCACTGAACTCAGTCTCCATCCCGTCTCCCTTTCCCAGAGGTGGAGGATCTGAAAGTTCCAACTCTCCTAATCTAATTCTACAGCGGGTTCCTCTGGCAGCCACACTCCATCCTCCAAGAGTCACCTCATTAGCTTAAACTCTGGTGGTTTCCAAAGGGCCTTGTTATGCATAAAGAAAGATATTCCCATCGCTCAGGAAATTACGAGGATTTTAGGAGCTCTATTCCAGGAACCAGGTACAAAGGCCAAATATACATTTTTATTATACCAATGTAGAAACTGCATCAAGACCACAATGCTCAGCTCCTCTGGTCTCAATTCTGTCAGATTATTCACCTTTTAAGACTTTTAATGGTAGCCTTTTTGTGTATCTCAAGACTTTTATTAGCTTACTATGCCTTTGTGGTGGGAAGGAAGTGGAAGACCAGGGTCAGCAGATCCACAGACACTATCACTGCCCACTCACATCTCCCACCCCCACATTACAAGCAAGCTTTACTTGAAGAAAATACAATATACAAAAATTCAAAGATATACTTATGGGAAAATCAAAAAGTAATTAGTTACATTACCAAAGGTTTCTTCATTTTACAAAGAAACTCCAAGGGTTTATTTTTTTAATTTTTAAATTGTGGCTATAAACACATAACATCATATTTGCCCTTTAAACATTTTCAAATGTACCAGTAGTGATGAGTATATTCACATTGTTGTGCAACTCATCTCTAGAAATTTTTCACCTTGCAGAACTGAAACTCTATGCACATTAAATACTAATTCCCCCTCTCCACTCTCCTCAGCCCTTGGCAACCATGTTTCTGCTTTCTGTTTCTATGATTTTGACTGCTTTGGATATCATGTATGAGTAGAATCAGTATATCTGTCCTTCTGTGGCTCGCTTATTTCATTTAGCATAACGGCATCAAGGTTCATCTCTATGACAGAACTTCCTTCTTATTAAAGGATGAATAATATTTCATTATTTGTGTATACTACATTTTACTTATTCATTCATTGGTTGATAAATATTTGGGTTGTTTCCACCTCTTGGCTATTGTGAGTAGTGCTACAGTGAACATGGATATGCAAATATACCTTTGAGGTCTTGCTTTGAATTCTTTTGGATGTGTACCCAAAAGTTGGGATTGCTGGATCATGGTAATGCTATTTTTAATTTTCTGAGGCACCTCCACACTGTTTTCCAAAGCAGGTGCACAATTTTACATTCTCTCCAACAGAAGGATTTCAATTTCTCCACATCCTCACCAATACTTGTTTTCTATTTTTCCAAAGGATTTTTTGGTCAGGCATGGTGGCTCAAGCCTGTAATCCCAGCACTTTGCAAGGCCGAGGCAGGAAGATCACTTGAGGTCAGGAGTTTGAGACCAGCCTGGCCAACATGGTGAAACCTTGTCTCTCATAAAAATACAAAAATTAGCCAGGTGAGGTGGTGCACACTTGAAATCCCAGCTATTCAGGAGGCTGAGCCAGGAGAATCGCTTGAACCTGGGAAGCAGAGGTTGCAGTGATCCGAGATCACGCCACTGCCCTCCAGCCTGGGCAACGGAGTGAGAGTCTGTCTCAAAAAAAAAAAAAAAAGTTGTTTTTTTTTTAAGTGGTTACATCCCATACTGGCTGGAAACAGAATTATATTTTCCTTTACACACACACCTCATAGAAGCACCTGCACATCCACCAAGTTATGGAAGAAGAGTTGTGAACAGCACGAGGGAAATGTGACGTCACCAAAGCATGCGGGCCTAGAAGGAGCTGTACAAGGTGCTGGGCCTGCTGCCTGCTGGGGCTGAGCTAGGGAGACTCAACAGAGAAGGAAGTAGCTATATTCATTTCCTCAGGCTTCTTTAACAAAGCACCATGAACTTATGGCTTAAGCAACGAAAATGTATTGTCTCACAGTTCTGGAGGCCAGAAATCCAAAATCAACGTGCTGGCAGAGCCACGCTCCCGCTGACACCAGAGGGGAGGGTCCTTCCCTGCCTCTCTCCCAGCTAGCGGTGGTCATCAGCAATCCTATTCTTTGAATTGTGCTGCAGCACTTCAATCTCTGCCTCTCTTATCGAATGGTATTCTCCCCTCGTGTGTCTGTATCTGGTATCCTCTTCTTACAAGGACAGCAGTCATATTGGATTGAAGACCCACTAGACTGCAGTCTGACCTCGTCTTAACTAGTTACATCAGAAATGATCCTATTTCCAAATTCGGTTTCCTGGTAGGACTTCAACACATCTTTCTGGGGAGATATTCAACCCGTAACGGAAACTAACATCAACTCAAAGCCTAGTGAGCACTGGTCCTGTGCTACTTCACATGGTTCTTTCACTTAAATCTGAATCAGTGACATATATGCAGGCCCCAGCACTCTTGGGACATAGCCCCACCCTTGGGATACCTAAACCCATCACCCTGGCCTATCCCCAGCAGATTCAGTTGAGCCACTTCCTCCCATAGGAGAGGCCTCTAGTGTACAAGCTCTACTGGAAGGATCCACATGAACAAAGAAATCTGCTAGTGTGCCTTATATGCTTGCATTACTGTTACATATTATATGATTCATATTTATCATTATTTCTGCTATGTTATTTTCCTGTTCTTAGTCCCTCTGCCTTCACCATACTTTTAGCTTTCTGGTGGCCAGTTTCCTCCAGTGTGGTAAAATCCAGACCCTGGCTCTGTTCTGAAGGCTATATCTGAAGAAAGATACACCCACCCCATTTAAGTCCCTCTGTGGTTTTCTAGCATGACCCCAAAGTTATATCCATGATGTCAGGGGAAGCTTGTGGTACAGTCCACTCCTAGAAAGGAGGTCTTGCTATCAGATGACCATAAAAGCTGGTCTGGACCCACAGTGCAAACTGTTTTTTTCCAATTGCATCACCAGTCGGTCCCACAGAATCCTCCTTGGTGGGGCATCCAGGAGGCCCTTCTCTTTGTGATCTCCCTTCCTCCTATCTTCTGCCACAGTCCGTTGCCTTTTTCTCTCCAGAAGTCTGGCTTCAGGTGACGGGGCAGCCCAGATCCTTCTGGGTCTCACAATGGAACATGATCAGCACTACTATGCCTCTGGCTGATAGTGACAGCTCTCATAGCATGACAGAGACTCACCATCTGATCTGATTAAAGGCCCTTTCCACCCGTTCTGCATGGGGAATGGTAAGGGAAATAGATAAGGCCCAGATGGACACACAAATTGTCCTGACACATTAGCATAAAAAGAGCTCCTTTCACTAAACCCAAAGGAAGGGCACTGTTAAGAGAAAACAAGGCTTTGGAATACTATGCAACCCTAAAAAAGAATGAGATCATGTCCTTTGCAGGGACATGGATGGAGCTGGAAGTTGTTATCCTCAGCAAACTAACACAGGAACAGAAAACCAAACAGCACTTGTTCTCACTTATAAATGAAAGCTGAGTGATGAGAGCATATGGACACTGAAAGGGGAACAACACACACTGGGGTCTGTCTGGTGGGGGGATGGGAGGAGGGAGCCCACCAGGAAGAATAGCTCATGGATGCTGGGCTTAATTCCTGGGTGTTGGATTGATCTGTCCAGCAAACCATGTAACAAACCTACACATCCAGCACATGTACCCCAGAACTTAAAAGTTGA